CAAAAAACTTTTCTAGAAATGGGTTTAATTAAAACTACACCAAGCACCTTAAACAAAAGAGAAGACATTGAAAATCTTAGTACTATATACAGTAATCTTCTTTTAAATAAAAGAAAAACAACGATATAAAAGTTCTTTCGAAATTACACAGATTAAAGGGATTATTATAAGTTCAAATGAGATAAAATTTATTTTTATTTGTGTTTGGTTTTTTCCATCTTAATTACTTACTAACATAAACTCTGTTGCTTGTTTAATAAGTGCAAACGAAACATTTTTAGATATTACATCAACATTTGCAATGAGGGTTTGCATAAACATCGACATTTCCTCTATCATACTAACATAAAATAAATATAAAAAATAGAAGAGATATGGAAGCCTTAGTAATAAGATTTGACAAAAAGAAAAATAAAATCAAATTAATACTGTAAATATGTTAAGTAATTTTGCTAATTTTACAATACAATACTCACAAGGGTAAGCCTGTTGAAGATACATCATTGTTCTAATGTAGTTTTTTTGTAATTTTTATTATGTTTTGAAAAAACTAAAATAAACTTGAAAGTTCAACAAACCTAAAAGAGTTTTACTTAAAGTGTAATATTGACTACAAGACCCAAGATATCCGTATATTTTACTCACATAGTCACTAAAGCCCTTTCAAAGAAAGAATATATATATATATATATATATATATATATATATATATATATATATATATATATAATATATATATATATATATATATATATATATATATATATACAGTGCTAGCAAACCTTAAAGAGTTTTACTTAAGGCTTATCCTCGAAAATTCTAACCGTAAATTTCAGTTTGCTATCTCTATTTCAAAAATTTCTTTCTTTACGAAAACAAAATCTGTTCATGAAGTAATATTCTAAACTTCGTTTAGATCTCTTTCAAGCCCAGGTCAAAAATGCGTTTACCTTTTACTCGAGCCGATTATACACCGAGACAACCCCTGCAATGACAAGTTTTGGCTTACAATAAGACCATAAATCTCTTTAGTGGTATTTTGAGTAAATATAATAACAGATCAAAGTAATATAATCTATTCATAAATTTACAATGTAACAAATATACATACATAATTTATTTGTTATTTTTTTTACGGAAAAATTGGCTGTCTGAAGTTTAACGTAGATTAAAGTTTACGGAAAATAAAAATTATAAAAAAAAAGATTATTATTATATATCATAAAAATTTGATTAGTATCACGATCATTCAAATTGATAAAATGAAACGATATAAATATAGAATTATGTCTAATGTTTCTTCAGAAGGTGTTTCAAATAAAAATTATAATAAAAATCTTGAAATTTTTGTAGCATATTTTCCCACAGTTCCATATATTTATCAATCTTTTCGAATAAAATATTTTTTGGGGTCCATACCGCAAACTAACAGTATTCTCTATTCGATATAAATAACAAAATAACTGTCCTTGCACTGGATAGTAATAGAAATCAGTTCTTTTTAAAATTTCTTGAAGGAAGGAATAATTTAGTCACGCTATAATTTCCAATTTTGATTTTTGATATTGAATTTGATAGGTTGTGATTTATTACACCAAAATCTAATAAAATATACCATGACACAAGAAATAGTTTCAGAATAAGTTTGATGTGTTGTTTATTATCATTCAGTAAGAGACTAATTTACTTCTTACAATGCTAATCTAACAGACAATTATTATTGTGAAATGAAAGAAATAAGATAATTTACTTGTGTGCTTGTGGTTAGTAAACGTCGGCCCTATGCAACTAATTGTCAACAAAGAACGGAGTACAAAAGTTTAGATTTATGAGATTTATGAGGAGCATTTATGAAACTTAAATGTATACTGAGTACTTATTTCAAAAATTTACAACTAAGGATTTAATTTGTTATATGTAAATATACTCCTAGATCTAGAGAAAATGGGAGTGCGACAATGGGAATTACAAAGACTTACGAAGAGTTGTAGCACCATTGATGATGATGATGATGAAATATACTGTATAACTATTTATATGGATGTGAAATATGGATCATGAAGAATAATATGATGGACATTTTGACATTTTAGGATATACGTTGAAAAATTAAGGCAAATATCGAGCACAAATTTAATAATCAAATCTTGCCCAAGTACTTTCGCTTTTTACAGCATCATCAGGGGAATCTGAAATAAACCAAGAAAAGTTTTTTTAAATGAAGAAAATTAATAAACTTCGATAAAAAACTCGAAGTTAATGGATGATAAAAGTTTTTGTGATTAACATTTTAGACTTACTTCGTCAAATTTGGTCTATCCAGCAAGCGCTGATGCCTCTGATGATGCTGTAGAAAGCGAAAGTACTTGGGCAAGATTTGATTATTAAATTTGTGCTCGAAATTTGCCTTCATTTTTTAAAGTTCATTTATTCGAGCATTGAACCTTATATCAGTAATTTAGGATGTGACTCAGGTATATGATAAAGTATGGCAAAGACGCCATAACTATAAACTAAGACTACATTTACCAAAACGATACTCTCAAATAATTGACTCCTCCATCTTGGAAAGATATTTCAGAATTAAACAGGAAGAAACATACATGGAATTGACAGATATTACAGCAGGGCTGCCACAAAGAAGTGTCTTTACCTTTTGTATACGTGTTATATTATTGTCCTAGAAAATATACAATTGCAACATTTACCGAAGATATTGCTATCATAGCAATATGCAAAACCAGCGAGGAAGCGACAAAGAAATTACACAGATGTTAATCAAATATATACTCCAGGGAAATAAGCAAAAAATAGATCATGTTCGTAACACTCAATAATCCAGGTCGCTGACAACTTTTTTAGTTATTGTAGACCTCTAGGAAGAAAACCTACTTCTTTTTTGCCTTGAATTTGGAGCTGTTTTTTAATTATTGACAATTTAATGCAAAAAACGCGACTGTTTCTATGATTATTGATACTAGTATTAAAAAAAAATAGATTTTTGGAAGAAAATTGTTTTGCACGAATTGTTTAAACAAACTAGACTATTTATTAATTAATTAATATATAAACAAATTACTAATTCCTAATATACGTAGAAATTGCATACAAATTAAAAATAGATCATACAAAATAAAAAAATAAGAATGATCAAAATCCATTGAGTAGATCCGGAGATATAGAAAATTTTATTAGTTTGAAATTGCTTGTTCGGTTTGAATTTGTAGGTTCTTCCTAGTCACCATTTGAACTACATTTTTGAAAATTCGTAGAGCGTCCTGTAAAGGTACAATGTTTGTGCAAATTTTTTAACAAAAAATACAAATCCCATTCCTTAACATGGCAAAAAATGAGGTTCCTTAATTATTATAATCAAATTAGCTGTGAATTATCACCTTTTCTTTGACTTGATCTACTACTTGTTGTAATTGGTCGTAAAACCCTTGTTATTTGAGGCTTATTATTTTCTAGGCCGTATACTCCGATAATGTTCAGGTTTTCCTTCTCCATTCTTATCTTTGATGTTACTATTCTTTCTGATATGTATTGACACTCTTTGATGTAATTTTGATACCCTTGGTGTATTAGTAAGGCTACACCTTCTTTGGCCCTGTTTTCTTTTGCTACTCCACTGTAGATTAGTATGTATTCACCTAATTTTTATTGACCTTTTCCTTTATTTTTTGTTTGTTGTAGAGCACAAATGTCTATTTCTTTCTCTTTCAACACTTATTAAGTTATTAAGTTATTTCTTGGTCCCTTGAGTTGAGTGATCTGATACTCCAAGTAATTCCCATCTGGGTTTTGGATGTTTTTCGCTTGTCGTTATTTCTTGCCGTAGTCGTCTTCATAGTATCAATCCGGTTCCGAGACTGTACATTGTTTCTTTGAGCAGTATTTGATTTTACGATTGGTAGGTTGCTAACCAATAAATATAAATAATTAAATTTCATATTCAAATACTGCAAATTTGGTTATTACTCTGAGCTCATGTAAAGAAGAAAAGAAAATAATAATTCTGATTGAAATACAAAAAAAATGTACTGGATGATTGACCAAAACTCTACGCTATTTCTATATAATAAATTATTATTATATAAGCAAATACTGAAACAATTGTATTATTATAAAAACAGTATAAATATTTAGAAAGAAACTGGAAAATCAACAGAAAATATTTCTATTCATATAAAAATTTAATAAAATTATAGGTACTTACTGCTTATTTATATTTCCTACTTTAAATTTTTAAATTTAAATAATTTAATTTATAATTTATAATTTTTAAATAAATTTTTTAAAACATTTCCTATTTTAAATACAATAAACACTGGTTTGTCAAAAGTCGGAATAAGCCCTAATAATGTTATTCAACTTTATTTATCCTCCTCCGAGGGTTTTACCTACCTGGCGAGAATCCAGAAGCTACCGACAAGGACACCCTGTGCTGACGGAGAGAAAATTGCGTTTAGCAAAAATTTGAAATTTTTTAAAAGTTTATATCAAATAGCTGCTTTGTGTTACACTTTATGTTAAAAATAAAAACAGATTCGGAAAGTGGGTCGAATTCTGTAGTGCCCTATTTAAAAAAAAAATTTTTTCGTTTATTTTAACCAAAAATATTTGAAAAAAAATATTGTTTAAACAATTTATTAATTTACAACCAAATAGTGCACTAGAACTTTTTTAGACCTTCCATATAAAAAAAGAATCATCTCAATATCTGCCATAGTTTTTGCGTTATTTGATATAAACTTTTACATTGGAATTTACCTATGCCCAGAATCGCGAGGATCGGCCTTAAAGGCCAATATTCACTACAAGTCCCAAAATATCCGTATATATATATATATATATATATATATATATATATATATATATATATATATATGCAGCGTGCAGCGTATATATACATTAAATGCAGCGTGCACTTTTAACTAATAATATTATCTATTACTTAATCAGAAAAACCGCATTTAAAACTTTTACTTTTTTTACAGGAGATGGCTGTGAACATCGCCTCGGCGCTGCGATATTGTTCAAATTTCTCCATCATAGTTTGCGGTGAATCGAAATCATTTTTGAAAGAACTGAAGCGCGAGACCATCCTCGATTGTTTTTCACCGGATAATTACTTGGGAAGTAATTAAGAAGTGCGGGGTAACAAGTTTCTTAATTAAAAAGTGCAAGGGTAACGTGTCGTAACCGGTGACAGCAAACGACGGTGATTTTAGTGAGGGAAGTGATATTAGGATTATATTGAGGTCAAAAAAGGATTAAATAAACAAGTGAGTGTTTATGAGGTTTATTTAAATAAAAAATAGTTTTATTTTTGTATTTCATGTAACTGTTTCTGTTTCATGCAACTGTACATCACTGCCATGCATAGTAGCTTTTTCCGAAAAAAGTTTAAAAATGCTATCAGATATAACATAAATGATAGACATAGATAAAATATTTTTCTTCTTCCGGTGCCCTCTCCTAGCAAATATTGGCAATGACTTCTGTAAATTATTCTCTATTTTGAACTTTTCTTATTAGTAATCAGAAGCCTAGCCCAGTCCTTTCTTAGATGTTTTTTTGCCACATCATTTGTAGTCCACCAGAACTTCACCTGCCCTTAATTTTGCCTTTTATTATGACTTGTAAGATTTGTTTTCACTATGTCTAGCAATTCTCGATATATGTTGATCTGCTTTAGAACTTTTTCATTTTTGACGTGGTTTAAGGAATGTCCAGCATGAAGCGACATATCCACATCTCAGCTTTCCAGTTTTGGCATTGTGAAGATTTTCCTGGTCATTCTTTCATGGCATATGTCATTACAAAAAACGGTTGTATTCTTGAAAAAGCGTTTCTGGTGATTTATATCCTTTTTTATCTTTTGATTTATATCAAGTGGATTGTTGATTAGGCATCCAAGATATAAAAGTCTGTCTACCTGCCCCATAGGATGCCAGTTAATTGATATATTTATTATAAACCGATTACTTTTGAAAATAATCATTGCGGTTCTTTTTTATTCTATCCAGCAGTGTTTATAGATCTTGCTCGTTATCAGCCATTAGTACCGGGTCATCGAAATATCGTATATTTTTGATAATTTTTTTATTTACTTTATGTGTAAGGCATGTGTAGTTCCAATATGTATTATAATTTAATTAATTATTACCAATAATGACATTACAACGACACTGGCAAAATTTTCATTTTAAATAGAAATAAGTCACATGCGCCTTCGATGGAAAGTTTAAACAATAATAAATTCCAGAATTCCACCCAGACCGAAACACCAAGAAAATAAAAATAGACACTTCAATATGAAAATATAGAGAAAAATAATGAAAGTTATGTCGTTTGGAGATAAATACCCAATAATGGGGATATTCAAGTATGATGTAACGCAATTTTTGAACTAATTACTATTTAAATGGGAATAAGCTACAATTAAAAGTTAAAGTACGTTTATTGACGTTTCAATTTCCACTTCAGAAATCGTTCTCAAAATACAAACATTAGTAAATTGTTATTTTTATATTATTAAATGATAGCTTTAGAGCAATTTTTGAAGATTTTGACAGTTCAAGGTCTTTAGCTAATCGAGATAAGTATTGGGCACTGCGTATTCCTATACAATCGCGAATGTTCTTGAGCCACGATATCTTCGTTTTAATTTCTCTGCGGCCCTCAATTTTATATTTTATGATGAGGTGAAGGGTTCTGTACCGGTCTTCTCGAAGAACATGCTCTAGGTATGAAATCTTTCTTTTTATAATAGTTTTAAATAATTTACGAGCGGAATTTGCTCTATTTAACATAGCCTCGATGGTCTGTATCGCTGTCCAGGTTATTTGGGACATTCTTCTATACAAGCAGATCTCAAACGCCACTGGGCGGTTATGGGCTTTCATAGAGGTATTAATCCGCTAATGAACAACCAAAATTGCATATAAAGAGGAAGAAGAAGAAGAAAAAAATTTTAGGCCCTTCTTGAAATATATTGATCTGTATATTTGGCTTGTCATCTTGGAGCAATTCACTTATATAGTTACTCCATGTTTCAAATATTTCTTGTTCATCAATGATTACTTTTCCTGCATTATCTACTAGTGTATTAGTGTTTTTTCTTAATATACAGACCAGCAAATTCAGGGACTTTCTTGTGCTGCAAATTGAATATATCATGCTTATATTCTAATGCTTTCATTTCTGAACATCTGTCCGCCATCTACTTGTCTTTGGCCTCTCGCATTTTTTATTTTATTTCTCTCTATATTTGGAAACGGTCCTTAATATTCGAGCCAGCGGAATTAATATTTTTTTTTAAATACTACAGTGTTTTGCTAGGTTTTTAAGGATTTATTACCACCCTAGTAATTTTTCACCCTCAACTAACCCATGTGGAAAGTCAACAATTCTTAGAATAAAATTTAAGGTGATGAAAAATCTATTTTTACAATTTTACTGTACTCTATCAATCAATAATTCTGTTAGGTTAAATTTATGGCATTTTTTTTATATTCCACTGTACTCTACATATAATTGAACTAAAAAATTGTCCTGGTAAGTTTTTGCTACACTTTCACCACCCTGATCATTTTTCCACCACTAACGCAATTTTATTTGGAAACGTTCCCGCTAGCTAAATATTTGAGCCAGCAGAATTTAGAAAAAATTTTTTGAATACCAGTGTTTTCATAGGTTTTTATAAATTTATTACCACTCTATTAATATAAACTACTCCTTGTGGGAAATCAACATTAAGCGGAAGCTCGATCATTAAGCTAGCTAATTTAAATAAAAAATTTTAAATACCACATGATTCTGATCGATTTTTACTAATTTTTCGCCTCTCAACAAACCCGTGGTAGCTTAGGTTAAACTAAAAAAAGTGATTTTTAAATACCACTGTGTGCTACAAAGCTTTTCCAAATCATTTACCATCTTCACAATTGTTTACCCCTCTATAAGAAGCCAATAATTCTGCTAGGTTGAATTTTGAACTGACAATTATAAAAGGTGTTTTTAATAATTTTTTTGTAATGTACTTTTACTTCAACCTTTTACTATTTTTTGCTATCTTCATATGTTTCACTTAACACACTGGGCATAAATTCTGCACTTTACGTTCTAATTTTAGGGGAGTAAAGTCGTACTTTTTTGTCCGGTATAAAAAAATGCAAGTTTTCACATCGTCAGTACACAGCCAAAGTGGCGTATCTGAAAATTTGACGTTTTGAGAAAATTGGATTTGAATTTTGTTGTAACTTTTAAGCTTGCTTTTTTCCTATCTTAGTTGGGCGTATTCTATTAATTTGTCACTATTACACAGGTACTAGTATTATAATTAAATTTTATAAATCAAAAACTTAATCAACAAAGACAAACATTTTAAAATTAAAAAAAAACTGGACGTTGTGTTAGATACGTCAGTTTGGCTTTGTAATGTAATTTTTGCCAAGGACTTAGGTCAAGTATTTAGGGATCAAAATACCAATTAATACTTTATAAAAATATGTTTATTTTAAAAATGAGAGTTATTTAGGATACTATTTTCACAAATTAATAAGTAAAATACAATATGCATTTAATCTTCATGATCGGTGTCTTCAGTGGCATCTGGTTCTGGCAGACAGTCTCTCTCATTAGCAGCAACGTTTAATGAGTTGTAAAAATTTTCGTAAATCTTTGGAATTGTTCCAGACGCACACATGCTCAACAGATCTTTTTGTTTAGCTACTGATATTGGAAGGTTTCTGTCAAATGCTTTGGCAATATTTTTATTGTATTGTCGTGATGGTTTGACGATAAATCCCTCAGTGAAATCCAAACGGAAATCAGTTTTGTATGACACTTTTACTCCTTCCTCAGACTTAGAGTACCTCACGTGGCATATTTTTCTCCAGGGTAAGCCTCGTAATTTTGCCTTGTATAATGACTTGAAGTCCAAAAACTCATCAAACCTCATTTCTGTTACCTGAAAAGGACTGGGTTTATTCCTCGCACTTCGAATTACTTGGGCCCATCCTTCCGGAGTGTACACAGGAATGTGTTTAGACTTTTTCTCTATTTTTGAGTGAATACTGTCACACTTCATTTCAGTATGCCCAGTTTCAAAAAATTTATGGTCTATCATTGTTAGGTCATTACTTTCGCTCAATAAATTTATAATCATTGTGGAAAAAATATAGTTTTTTGTTGCCCTCCGCAACTATCTGACATCATGTTAATAGTAGTAATATTTTCTTGATGTAAAATATATTTCCTAATGCAGATTGCGATTTCGTTGGCTCCTCTTCGTCCATTACTCTCGTCCAATAAAAAACACATAACTTCTTGGTTACCAAGATTATAAACTGTCAAATTGTAAACTGCAAACTTTCAAAGATAAAAAATATGACCTGCTGGTCCCTTTGGCGTATTCAGTACTGCCTGTAAATCAAAATTAAAAGAGAGAGTTCTTTCTTCAGATTGAGCCATTTTTTTATCCTTATTCCGTTCACCTCGAGCATCATCTCGTTTTTGGAGGTGCAGTCTGAATTCCTCCTGCATCTCTGCAGTGCTTTCACTCGCACTATGAAAATTTAAGCACTTCCTGCACTGGTCCTTTTTTGGAACGAAAAATCCAAGATTATAATCATTAAAAATTTGTCTGTATTTTTCCAAACTGACAGGATTATTTGGATTCTTTTCTACAAACATTCTGTACATTATAGAAATGTTTAAGGACGAATCTAAATATTTTTTGGAGCTACTTTTTCTCCAGTAGTGTGACTCCATGGCAGAAAATGAATTTATATGCATTCTGATCATTTTTTTCGTTGACGAAAGCTTATTACCAGGAGTATGTTTGCCTCTTTTTTCAGATTCTACTAATACATTATTCTGACTCTTTTTTAATGCTGTTCTAACAGATCTCTCAGTAGCGTTTAATGTTTTAAGAAAAAAGTCTCTACAGACTAGTCTTTTTTCACCACCTACCAAAAGTAATATAAGTTTGTGAACTGCCTTTTAGAGTTCACAACAGTAGTTCTTTTCTTTGGCTGCTGCTCAATCAGTTTACTTAAAAATTGCCTCTGACTGTCTATTCTCGAGAGATCTACATTCCTTGTAAATCTGTTGTCTGACTTCCTCAGGAACGAGAATAGAGCAGTTGTACTTTTTTGAAGCACAACATGCAGGTAGTATGGGTCGAGCACGTTTTAATAAACCTTTGCTTCCTATCTATTCCTCACCCCTCAAACGGCAGATTCTGTCTCCGTCTTCTATATAAAATGTAGCTTCTCCA